ATATGTGTGTGAGAAGAGAATGTGTGTGTATATGTGTGTGAGAAGAGAATGTGTGTGTGTGTGTGAGAGAAGAGAATGTGTGTGTCTGAGAAGAGAATGTGTGTGTGTGAGAGGAGAATGTGTGTGTGTGAGAGGAGAATGTATGTGTGTGAGAGGAGAATGTATGTGTGTGTTTGAGAGGAGAATGTGTGTGTGTGTGAGAGAGAAGAGAATGTGTGTGTCTGAGAAGAGAATGTGTGTGTGTGAGAGGAGAATGTGTGTGTGTGAGAGGAGAATGTATGTGTGTGAGAGGAGAATGTATGTGTGTGTTTGAGAGGAGAATGTGTGTGTGTGTGAGAGAGAAGAGAATGTGTGTGTCTGAGAAGAGAATGTGTGTGTATGAGAGGAGAATGTGTGTGTGTGAGAGGAGAATGTATGTGTGTGNTGAGAGGAGAATGTGTGTGTGTGAGAGGAGAATGTATGTGTGTGTGTGAGAGGAGAATGTATGTGTGTGTGTGTGTGTGTGTGTGCTTGCACGGCCCCTCATATGCATCTGCAACATTTATGAAAAATGAATTTGCTTACAAAGCAGGTCTTGAAGAATGCAGAAGGATCATCGCCCAAGGTGACCGGCAGTCCCCGAAGACAAAGGCATCTGACGTCTGTTGGCTCAGTTGTCTAGACGATAGTGGACATTGAATAAAACACTTTATAAGGATACTGACTGTAATTTACAAGAAATTACAAGAAGAGATTAGGAAAAAATGTAATGGAAATAGGAGATAAAATTATGAGAATAGAAAATGCAGAGGTAAAAAAAAGGTGTAGAAAATGAATAGAAGAGGGAGAAATAGAGAAGAGCAAAGAGGGGGGAGAGAAAAATTAGACAAGAAACAAAAAGGATAAGGAGGAAAAGCTTCATAGGAAAACAGGACTGATGTAGATATGTTAACTTACCTTTGTCTGGCATAAAAGTTCAGCCAAAAGCTGACCAGTAAGGCCTTTCTTCTTTTTGAAGAGGGCCATGAGGCTTGGAGACAAATTGTCAAGTGCATCCAAGAAGTTTTCCCTGAGATTTTTCCCTACCACTCTGCCAAATTCATAATAAACCTGAAACATGGCAAACAATGCATCAGTCAATGTTCACACTGTTTTAATCTGACACACTCAACACTACATGATATGTAGACACTTAACACAAACCTGATTTTCTGTAAAAAGAGCTGGCCAACGATGCACCACCTGGCTGATGGCAGGCTTCTCATTGACAATCTCCTTTCTGCGAAAAGCAAACGTCACATCCATCTCTTTCTTAACCAGGGATTCCTTTGGCTTTGTCTTCATCATTTCATTGATCATAACCTCACGAGCTACTTCCATGTTTTGGTCATTCATCCCCTCTGGAAAATCAGGCATGATTTGACAGAGCTGCTCTATCACATCTTGCACTGCACTCTCTGGTATGTGCAAAACAGTGTGCATCTTTAGTAGTAAAGATGCCAAGTTGTGCTCAAGCTGTTTTTCTAAATTGTGCAGATCACATTCAGTTACCTCATTCAACTCTTCTGTGTCCTCAATATAATCAGCATCTGACATCTGCTCTTGTGAAGCATTACTGTCATGGCTTATAATATTGTCACCAACAATTTCTGATTTAAACCTCTTTGAGATCTGTTGTTTGTGTACTTTACTCTTGTGTGCTTTGAAGGTGGAGTAAACACTGCTTTCAAAATTACAGTCTTCATAAGGGCATCTGACTTTATGATTTACTTTTAGATGTGCACGATGCAGGTGAGTGAAAAAGTCACTCTCTGAACAAGACTCTGTAAATCCACACGACAGACAACTAAACTTAGTTGGTATATCTGTACTTTGTTGCTGATCGGGAGTTTTTGTGTGAATGCGGGACAGGTGAACTTTTAGTGCATTTAATGATTTAAATGTGCACAGACATTCCTGATGTAAACAAGGAAAAGGCTCGGTTCTGGTATAACCTCCGTGTTTTAGCCTGTAATGCTTAAATAATTGTGCTCTTTTTTCACAGCTAAAAGGACAATACTTGCACTTCCAAACCATTATTTAATCGGTGTCTTTAGACTTAACTCTAAGAATTTCTCTTTATTTTCCCTGCAAATGAGCAAACATTAACAACATTTACCTCATGAAACCTAACAGACTGGAAAAGTCTGAACACTGACATCACATTTATTATTTTGCTAGTTTACGGCGAATTAGCTTTAATATAGGGCATTTTAAGTCACATACACATCTTAAGATACATATTCGCTTATGTTGTCTTAAAGGAACTTACCAGATACAATAGGCCGTGGTAAACCGCGTAAAACAGCCGCGTAAAACTCCCGCTATTTTCTTGAGAAAAAACACCGCTTGCAGCCGGCCAGGTGAAAGCCTAAAGGCAGTGAAACTGGTTAAAATCGTGTTTGTACCGCACGCTATCAGCAACTCGCGTAAGAAAGTGATCTATAGCATTAGATATCGATTAGTTGTGGATAAAAATAAGCCAACGAACTGGTAAGCCAACGAACTGCTGCCCCAAAACCCCTCCCCCTCACAGTTAGCTAAATATACATTACACAGCCAGGTAAATTAGCCACTGTCTAGAAATGTCCGTCGAAATGGCGAAAGTTTAAGTGAAGTTTTTACAACTGAGGGAGTTAAACTCACCTTCCAGTTCCTCGCCAGCAGTGCTTGAATCCACACAACCGCAACAACGACAGAAAACTTCGACTCAGTGCGTGGCTGAAATCAGTTTTGGACTGTTTTTGTTTTGTATTATATGTCTGTGTAAGAGCAGGCTGCAATATAGACTGTTGAAATAAGGAAAACACACACACACTGATACCTTGAGCAACTGCTCATTACTCTGTTAATAGACAGTTGTCACAATTGGGAAGAAGAGGTGTGGTCTGTTCAATAACTTTTCAATTTAAGCTTATTGTACTTCAAATTATTTGCACATTGGACTATGCCAACAAATTAGTAGAATATACTTAAAATTATGAAGTGATATCATCAAACTTTTTTTTTTTAGTATATAATGCTTTAATATTTAAGTAGAAACTAAATCCGGGCTAACAGTGTATGAGGACGTTGACTGCATTGGCCCATTGCCCTTTACGCAGAAAGGGAATGCTTACCTGTTAGTCTTTGTAGATTTCTTATCAAAGTGCGTGGAAGCTAGTGCAGTAAGGGAGGCCACAGCACAGATGGCTGCCAGCAAATTTCTCAGTGATATTTTTGCACGGCCCAGGAGCTCTGAAATACCTAATCTCAGACAGAGGTTCTCCTTTCATTGCCGAGTTCTTTGAGCATTCCTTGGGTATAGAACACAGAATGACAGTGGCTCACCACCCACAAAGTAATGCAACAGAAAGAGTGAATTGCACATTAAAAATGGCCATCTGGTCATATGTGGGGAATAAGGACATGTCTTTGGATAAATCTGAGCCACAGATATGTTTTGTACTGAGAATTGCCCCTCATGAGGACACGGGTATGAGGCCTAGGATGCTTTATGGGTGCAAGCGTTGCTCTCCACTGGATTTGATAAGTCAGCCTACTCAAGAAGGAATGGATGACCTATGGTCCACTACCCTGAGGTTCTGCAGGCTTATTTGAAAGAGGCACATGATCATGCTCAAGCTCGAAGCCATGTCAAGCAAAAGAAACATTATGACTCAAAGTGTCTATTAAGTCCCGCATGGTTTGGGATGAAATTGGGGATGCTGTAGGCTCTTTTTGGTGTGTTTTGCTTTCCTCTTTGAACAGGCAGACGCGTCAGGACCGGATTGGAAGATTGATGATTGCCTGTTATCCCGGGTGTTGTTCCGGTTGGCGGTTTAACCGGCGCTTCAAACGAAGCCCGGTTTACTAAGCGGCGACGACTTCTGAAGCACAGCAGCGTTTTTCCATATGATATTGCCCACGGTCGTCCAGCCATTATTATGACCACTATTGCTAACTTGGTATCTTTCTCTTTGTAAATGTATTCTCAGGGTAAATAAATAAGTGGAAAGAACAGACCTGGGAGTTTGGGCATTTTAGTCTTGTTTATTAGTATAGCAGAACATTTTTTGTCATTTGCCCAGACCCTAGACGGGGACGTGACAGCGTCGATAGGTAGTATACAACAATAATGACCGAGTGAGAGTGAAGACTCACCCTTGTTTGGAAACGGTGACAAATTTCACTGCCAAGCTGGCTCCAGTTTATAGTGGGCCATTCTGTGTTTCTAAAAAAACTGTTAGATGTTAACTACCAGCTTACCTGTTTGGACAATGGAGAGGATATGGATGTCTTCCATGTGATCAATCTCCAGCCATTTTACACTTGGGAGAGGGTGACTGCTGAGCGGCAGTCCCTTAACATGGATGGAGGGATAAAAAAAAAAAAAAAAAAAACATGGATGGAGGGATAAAAAAAAAAAAAAAAAAAAACATGGATGGAGGGACTGTTGCTCCATGTGTTGGAAAGAGACCCAAAGGATTGTTCAGGTGTCCATATATGGTATCAGATGTGTTTGACTAAGGGGCCACCTGGGGGGCATATATGTCATTAGGCTAAGGGGAATGTGGTGTCGTTAGACAGGGGGCCGTTAAAGTTTGAGATTTTTAATTACATTTTAAGGAATAATAAAAAACGTATAGCAGGATGAACGTAAACTAGCGCAAACACGTCCAGCAGGTGTCAGGACGCAGCCATGTGCTGTTCGGAGCAGGCACACGCATCCCGACTTTCTGCATTTTAAAAGAAAGCACTTAAACTCATTATATTTAACCAACATGTTTAAACTTTAGCACCAATTAACCAATGTCTTATTTCGGTATAAGTTTGAAGAAAGCATTTAACCAGCAAACTTTTAGGAGCAATTACCTTTTCGGAACCGTCTCCACGCTTGTCCTGACAGAAGTTTACTCAGAATGCACTGATCACCAGCTGACTTTTGTATACACCACAGTCAAAAAGTTAAATATTTAAATATTATCTGTTTGCCCAGAGATTACTGGATTTTTTTTTTTTTGCTTTAACTAATGTTCACTTGTGGGTCCTGGGGAGTTGAGGTATTAAAATGAATTTTTGGCCAAATTTTAAGATTCAGCTTAGATTCTATGACATTTTAGAGTAAAGTCAAACATAACAGCATATCATAATGAACACAAATTTTTTTAATGCTCTAAAAAAATGGTCCCTTTAGATACAATGTGGGTCCCAGGGACCCAGTACTCAAATGAATGGGATTAGAGGAGGAGCCTGTATTCAAAGACCATAAAAAAAACCTGAATCCTAATCAATCATGAAAACAATTGGGCAGACAGTGAACAATAGATAGGGCAAAAGGTATGAACCTTTGATAAAAATTCTAGCTGTTAAAAAATTTTAATAGACAAAAATAAAAAAATGCAGACTTTGGATACAATGTGGGTCCTGGTGACCCAGTATTCACTTCACTTGAATCCGAATCAATAATGAAAAAAATGGGCCAGGCAGTGGAAAAGGGATGAAACTTTATGAAAAGACATGAAACTTGTCAAATAACACATTAAAAAAAAAAAAAGAATTAGAGAACTTTAGATAAAACAATTGCGGGTAAAACAGGAACACAGAACACAAATATGAAAGAGTTAAGTACAATTCGTGAAATAACTGCAGGTAAAATGGGAACATAGAACACAAAAATGAAAGAGGTAAATAAGGTAAACAATCTGCAACTACACTAACTAATTTATATTTTGCACTTTTTACATATGAGCGTCCCACATTTGCAGCACGCCACATTGGTCTTGCGGTCACTGCTATAATGTCACAAGGTGCACCTCTTCCTCTTGGATTTCTCTTCCGGGGGAGGCGGGACAAGACTAGACTGGGTTGGGATTGTGTGGGCTGGACGTCTGAGCAGTGGGCCTCACTGAGCTGGGCATCCCGATTCACTCTCACCGTTGCAGCAGCATGGGGGCCTTGTGGAAGATGCGTTCGCTGCTGAATGGTGGGAGTGATTAGGGCTTCGCCCAGCTCCTGCAGGAATAGCCTGCGTCTCTGTTTTAGTCCTGCCTTCCATCTGGGATGGATCTTCTTCCATACGACGTCGGCATTGTGCGCCGAAATGTCCAGAATATTATAAAAAAATGCAAGGGGCCAGCAAGTGGTTTTCCTTTTACAACTGTAATTCGAAATTAACTGGTCCATTGTGTCAACCCCTTAGTTTTGTTATAATCGATTATCATTTCCAGCTTTGTCTTGCCATTGGGAGATATTTGCCTTATGAAATGTGCTCATTAGAAGCATGTTTTTATTTTTTTTGGGAATGTAAGACACTAGTGTAGTATTATGGGAAAATGCAAATTTGGATGAATGTAGCCGCCTGCCCCTAGTTGTTAGCAGGGCAGTCGGCAGC